GGTGGATTTGCAGAATCTAGAATGGACCCTGCTTCCAGATTGCTGAAAAAAAAAAAAAAATGATCAGACAGGGTAATTACTGCTGCTTTAGAGCAGTGCGTCTCAAACCTGACGACCTATTAGAATTATTAGAATTTATTCTCAAAGAGTATAGAAGCAGGTATACTGATGAATACCTCTCCTACCCCTGTCCACCTTTGTTGCCCTTCCAACAGGTAACCGGTGTTGCCAGGTTTTTGGTTATCTTTCCTAAACACTAAATGTCCTTTTTTTTTTTTGAGTTAGAATCTTGCTCTGTCGGGTGACAGAGCTCAAGCCGGAGTACAGTGCCACCATCTCCACTCACTGCAACCTCTGCCTCTTGGGATCAAGTGATTCTCATGCCTGAGCTTCCCAAGCAGTTGGAATTACAAGTGTGTGCCACCATACCTGACTAATTTTTCTACTTTTAGTAGAGACAGAGTTTGACCATGTTGGCCAGCCTGGTCGTGAACTCCTGGCCTCAACTGAGCCACCCGCTTTGGCTTCCCGAAGCGCTGGGATTACAGGCATGAGCCACTGTGCCTGGCCCCCTTTTTTTTCTTTTTGGACACAGGGTCTCATTCTGTCACCCAGGCTAGAGTACAGTGGTGCTAGCATAGCTCACTGCAGACCTGCAGACATGAACTCCTGGGCTCAAGCAATCCTCCCACCTCAGCCTCCCAAGTACCTGGTACTACTGATGTGCACCACCATGCCCAGCTAGTTATCTTTTGTAGAGACAAGGTCTTGCTTTGTTGCCCAAGCTGGTCTCAAATTCCTGGGCTCAAGCGATCCTCGCACCTTGGCCTCCCAAAGTGTTGAGAATTCAGGTGTGAGGCAATGTGCCTGACCTAAATGTCACCTTTTTTTTTTTTTTTTGAGACTGAGTCTCTCTCTGTCGCCCAGGCTGGAGTGTAGTGGCGTGATCTCAGCCCACTGCAACCTCTGCCTCCCGGGTTCAAGCAATTCTGCCTCAGCCTCCCAAGTAGCTGAGACTACAGACACCCATCACTATGCTGGCTGTTTTGTATTTTTGTTGAGATGGGGTTTCACTACGTTGGACAGGCTGGTCTTGAACTCCTGACCTTGTGATTCACCCACCTCGGCCTCTCAAAGTACTGGGATTAAAGGCATGAGCCACCACACCCGGCCAAATGTCTCTTTTTTGGTAAGTCGGGAGATGCAGCTCTTGAGCAAATCAGAGGCTATATAATCAAGACAGAAAGGAAAAATTAATTCATCAGAAAGTTTATACATACAATTATGAAAAAAAAATCAGTAACATAAAATACACACCAAAAAACAGGCCAGGCATGGTGGCTCACACCTGTAAGCCCAGCACTTTAGGAGGCCGAGGCAGGCAGATCACAAAGTCAAGAGATCAAGACCATCCTGGCCAACATGGTAAAACCCTGTCTCTATTAAAAAATATAAAAATTAGCTGGGCATGGTGGTGCATGCCTGTAGTCCCAGCTACTCGAGAGGCTGAGGCAGAAGAATTGCTTGAACCCGGGAGGCAGAGGTTGCAGTGAGCCGAGATCACGCCACTGCACTCCAGCCTGATGCCTGGCGACAGAGCAAGACTCTGCCTCAAAACTAAAAAATAGGTGGGTATGGTGGTGCACACCTGTGATCCCAGCTACTTGGGAGGCTGAAATAAAAGGATTCCTTGAGCCCAGGAGTTCAAGGCTGCAGTGAGCTGTGATCACACAACTGCACTCTAGCCTGGGAGACAGAGTGAGACCCTGCCTCAAAAAAAAAAATTTCTAGCAGTAACTCCCTATCAGTACATAAGACAGTGGCTCTCAACCATGGGTGACTGAGCCCCCCCGCACAGTCACCCATGGTTGAGAGATTCATACTCTTTTGCATGAGAGATTCATACTCCTATGCAAAAACCTACTAATGATTGTATTAAAATCACTTATTTTGGGTTTTGTTTTGTGTGTGTGTGTGTTTTTTAATGGAGTCACCCTGTCACCCAGGCTGGAGTGCAATGGCACAATCTCGGCTCACTGCAACCTTTGCCTCCTGGGTTTAAATGACTCTCTTGCCTCAGGCTCCAGAGTACCTAGGATTAAAGGCACTTGCCACTACGCCCAGTTAATTTTTGTATTTTTAGTAGAGACAGGGTTTCACCATGTTGGTCAGGTTGGTCTCGAACTCTTGACCTTGTGATCTACCTGCCTTGGCCTCCCTAAGTGCTGAGATTACAGGTGTGAGCCACTATGCCCTGCTTAATCATTTATTTTGCATGAAACATCTTATTAAGAATATGAACTTTCAAAGACAGCCATTTATCAACATGCTAAATGTTACTTTTTGAAAATCATCTCAACAGTATGGTACAGGTATTGATTGACTTACGACCTGTGCAACTTAAAACCATTCGACTTAACGACCACAATCGCTAGCCACGACTGCTCCGCGTCTGGCAGCGCAAACGTTGCCCAGCTGGGTGTATGACAGTGCGGACCAGCTTCCAGCAGCACTACCATCTCCACGTGCACCATTTCAACTGTACATATAGCCTACTCAACTTACGAGCAAATCATGTTATGACTGTTCCGCAGTGGTCGTAAGTCAAGCACTGCCTGTACTTGCTCAAAGTCCTCAGAAGTTAAGGTCAGCAGATCCAGCTCTTGAGCACACCAGAGACTAATCAGGAGAGAAAGGAAAAATCAGTCCACCAGAACTAGCTGTAATTCTTTCATTGATCCTGACCACTCCTTATTCTTCATTTTCATTTCACCACCACTTCTGTCGAACTCTATCTTTTCAAAAACCTGGAAGACTGCCATAGATCACAGCCCAGCAACTTTGGTTTTTAATTTAATTTAATTTTATTTTATTTATTTTTTTTTTTTTTGAGACGGAGTTTCGCTCTTGTTGCCCAGGCTGGAGTGCAATGGCGCGATCTCGGCTCACCGCAACCTCCGCCTCCTGGGTTCAGGCAATTCTCCTGCCTCAGCCTCCTGAGTAGCTGGGATCACAGGCACGCACCACCATGCCCAGCGAATTTTTTGTATTTTTAGTAGAGACAGGGTTTCACCATGTTGACCAGGATGGTCTCGATCTCTTGACCTCGTGATCCACCCGCCTCGGCCTCCCAAAGTGCTGGGATTACAGGCTTGAGCCACCGCGCCCGGCCGGTTTTTAATTTTAAATGTCAGCCAGAAAAAAGGGAAAGGCAGTCAGCATTTTGAGTGAGGGTGGAGGTGTATTTACTCAAGAATGCTGACTGGCGGCGCAGACTACCTTCTGATATTAAGGCTTTGGACATTCTCCTTTGACTCATTTTTCCATCCCATATTTATTTCAATTCAGCAATTTATTCTGACCAGGTTAGTGTTCCTCCTCCCAGGACTCACAGAGGACTGTGATTAGATCATCACCTCTTTTTGCCACATACTCAAGATGATCATTTCAAATAGATGGGAGAAAATCAAATTCTCTACTTCCAAATTAAATTTGAATATTACTAGCTCCTTACAAATGCCCTTCTGGCCGGGCGCAGTGGCTCATGCCTGTAATCCCAGAACTCTGGGAAGCTGAGGCGGGTGGATCATTTGAGGTCAAGTGTTGGACACCAGGCCAGAAGTGGTGGCTCGCACCTGTAATCCCAGCACTTTGGGAGGTCAAGGCAGGTGGATCACTTAAGGTTAGGAGTTCAAGAATAGCCGGACTAACATGGTGAAACCCCATCTCTACTAAAAATACAAAAATTAGCCAGGTGTGATGGTGGGTGCCTATAATCCCAGCTACTTGGGAGGCTAAGACAGGAGAATCATTTGAACCAGGAAGGCAGAGGTTGCAGTCAGCCAAGATCACACCATTGCACTCCAGCCTGGGCAACAAGAGTGAAATTCCGTCTCTAAAGAAAAGAGCTGGAGATCAGCCTGACCCAACATGGTGAAACCCTGTCTCTACTGCTGGGTGCGGTGGCTCACGCCTATAATCCCAGCACTTTGGGAGGCTGAGGCAGGTGGATCACGAGGTCAGGAGATTGAGACCATCCTGGCTAACAAGGTGAAACCCCCTCTGTACTAAAAATACAAAAAATTAACCGGACATGCTGGCACGTGACTGTAGTCCCAGCTACTCAGGAGGCTGAGGCAGGAGAGTTGCTTGAACCCAGAAAGCAGAAGTTGCAGTGAGCCAAGATCGTGCCACTGCACTCCAGCCTGGCCAACAGAGTGAGACTTTGTCTCAAAAAAAAAAAAAAAAAAAAAAAATAGCCAGATGTGGTGGTGTGTGCACCTGGGGTCCCATAGTCCCAGCTACTCAGTAGGCTGAGGCAGGAGAATTGCTTGAACTGGGAGGTAGAGGTTGCAGTGAGCTATCGGGCAACTGCACTCCAGCCTGAGCGACAGAGCGAGACTCTCTCTTAAAGAAAAAAAAAAAAAAGAAAGAAACTCTGTCTCTACTAAAAATACAAAAATTAGCCAGGTGTGGTAGTAAGCACCTGTAATACCAGCTACTTGGGAGGCTGAGGCAGGAGAATCACTTGAACCAGGGAGGCAGAGGTTGCGGTGAGCTAAGATCACACCATTCCACTCCAGCCTGGGCAACAAGAGTGAAACTCCATCTCAAAAAAAAAAAAAAAAGAGTAGAAGATCAGCCTGACCAACATGGTGAAGCCCCGTCTCTACTAAAAATATAAAATCAACCAGGCCTGACAGAACATCCCAGTAATCCCAACTACTGGGGAGGCCGAGGCAAGAGAATCACTTGAACCCAGGAGGCGGAGGTTGCAGTGAGCCAAGATCACGCCACTGCACTCCAGCCCTGTCAACAAAGTGAGACTGTCTCAAAAAAAAAAAAAAAAGGGAAAACGTCCTCTGTACAGATACCAGTAACTACAAAACTGATTATCAATCTGGTTAAATAACATTCTTAGAACTATGTGAAGATGATAAATGTCTAACATCAGCCTGAACCGAAGTTCCAGATGGGAAAGAACACTATTCCAAACCCCGTGATCATCAGTAGGCTTTATTCAACCATTAGACTTATGCTGCACTGAAAGACAGTCCACTCCCTTCCACTGTATCTTCACTTTGGGGTCTGCTGTTGGGCCTCTATTTGCCTCTATCCTTCTTCTCCCTCCCCTTGACCCGGTCGTCTCTGAAGTCCCTCTCTCTCTCCCAGTCATTTTCGGGCCACACCCTGGGTGGCTCTCTTTCTTGCCATCTCTTCTCCCGGCCCCTGTCATGGTCTCGATCCCTTGTCCTCGAGTCCCAGTGCCTTTCTCGGGATCGAGATCGCTCCCGCCTTTCCCGTTTTCCCTCTCTATTATAGAGGTCGTTTTTAACGACTGGCAAGTTAATAGGTTTTCGAAAAGGCCGGTCCCGTCCCCCAAATCTCAGTTGCCCAGACTCCTTTTTCCCCCCCAGACCGCCTCCAAGTCGCCGAGGGATCCACCCTTTGAGAGTCCTTTCCAGCTCGTAGTCCACAAATATCTCATGTTGGTCAATAACCAAGCCGTCGGCATCTCGGTAAGCTTTGATCACGGCACGCTCCTCCTTGAATTCGATGAAGGCGTAGCCCTTTGAAAAGCCTGTGACCAAGTCCCTGACCAGCCGAAGCCGCCGGATGTCACCATAGCGGGAAAAGACTTCCTTTAATTTGTCCTCCTTTGTCTGCAAGTTTAGTCTGGCCACAAACAGGGTGAGGAGGGGATCTCCTATGACACCTTTGTTGGGGACATATCGTGCCAGCATTGCCCTCCAGACTGCGCGGTCATGTGGGTCTTCATCGGTGCCATCGATGCTACCCGCTTTGAGTGGATCATACTCCTTGGCGATGGGCACCCAATCGTTCATGTTCTGAGAATGATAACAGCAAGTGTGGATGCGGCATCTACTCTGAGCCACTCATTCAACCCTTACAACAACCCCATGAAACAGATACCACCAATCACCCCTTCTTGAAGATAGGAAAGGAAGGGGACAGCCACAGGGGCTAAGTCCTTCCCACTAGTAAGTGGGGGAGACAGCATCAAAGCCAGGCAGTCGTGCTCCAGAGAAGCCCTCACCCACTCCTGCAAATGCCCTCTCGGGAAGCAGAGGATGGCATGCTTGGGTTTCCTCCATACATGCATTATCTGGCTCAGCCACTTAAGGGCACTTACCACATGACAATGTGGCAGCGTGGATCAAAACTCAGACTTCCCTTTCAGAGCTTTTAAAATGATCACAGGAAAACTAGCCCAGGAACTGCTTGTGGAAAATGGCATTTTAAAAACTCTACTACCAAGAATTTCAAACAAATACCAACATAGAGAATCATATAATAACCGTCCACAAACTTCTCACCTGGCTCAGCTAGAACCTCCACGTGCCTGTGGCCAGAATATTCTGCCCCCAGGTAATTCTGAAACAAATTCTAGATCTCAGAGGCTGGGCGCGGTGGCTCAAGCCTGTAATCCCAGCACTTTGGGAGGCCGAGGCGGGTGGATCACGAGGTCAAGAGATCGAGACCATGCTGGTCAACATGGTGAAACCCCGTCTCTACTAAAAATGAAAAATTAGCTGGGCATGGTGGCACGTGCCTGTAGTCCCAGCTACTCAGGAGGTTGAGGCAGGAGAATTGCCTGAACCCAGGAGGCGGAGGCTGTGGTGAGCCGAGATCGCGCCATTGCACCCCAGCCTGGGTAACAAGAGTGAAACTCCGACTCAAAAAAAAAAAAAAAAAAAAAAAAAAAAAAATTCTAGATCTCACATCATTCATAATTTTTTTACTGTGCATCATTAAAAGATACAGACTTTTTTAAAACTACAAGAGAAAATGAACATTTGGATACACCATTTTGCAGTAAACAGATAACAAAGCTAAAGCTACGTGACTCAGTAGTGGGTTATTTGGTTCAAAAGGAATGTGGGATTTCTTCTCAGCTCCCTAGCTGATAATCCGGTTATGCCTGGCAGCATGAGAATTTACTGTAATGGTCATTTTTTTGCCTAGCAAGCACACTGCAGTTCTTATTCCTTCTGATACATAATTAATTCGTGGGAATCTTTGCTGGAATAATAAAATGCTTACTAACATTTCAGACCCAGCTAATGCTTATGTGACCAACCTACGAAACTACAGAGCCAATGCTGAAATATGTTACTTACACACCTTGGCTGGCTGAGCATGGTGGCTCACGCCTGTAAGCCCAGCACTTTGGGAAGCCGAGGTGAGCAGATCACAAGGTCAGGAGTTGAAGACCAGTCTGGCCTTCTGTCTCTACTAAAAATACAAAAATTAGCCAGGCATGGTGGTGGGTGCCTGTAATCCCAGATACTCAAGAGTCTGAGGCAGAGAATTGCTTGAACCAGGAAGCAGAGGGTGCAGTGAGCCAAGATCACACCACTTCACTCTAGCCTGAGCAACAGAGCAAGACTCTGTCTCAAAAAAAAAAAAAAAAAAAAAAAAACCTTGGCTAAGGTCAGGCATGGCTCAAGCCCATAGCTATAGCACTTTGGGAGGCCAAGGCTGGAGGATCACTTGAGTCTAGGAGTTCAAGACCAGCCATTTCAATTAAAAAAATAATAAAATAAAAAAGAACTTTGGGGCTGGGTGCAGTGGCTCATGGCTGTAATCCCAGCACTTTGAGAGGCCAAGACAGACAGATCATGAGGTCAGGAGATCGGGGCCATCCTGACCAACATGCTGAAACCCCATCTCGACCAAAATGCAAAAAATTAGCTGGGTGTGGTGGCACACACCTGTAGTCCCAGCTACTCAGGAGGCTGAAGCAGGGGAATTGCTTGAACCTGAGTGGCAGAAGTTAATAGTGAGCCGAGATTGCGCCACTGGATTCCAGCCTGGGAGGCAAAGTGAGGCTCTGTCTCAAATAAATAAATAAATAAATAAATAAATAAATAAATAAAAAGAACCTTAGCTGTGCATGGTGGCTCACGTCTGTAATCTCAACTTTGGGAGGCCAAGGCAGGAGGATTGCTTGAGGCCAGGAGTTCAAGACCAGTATGGGCAACATAGGGAGACCCTGTCTCTAAAAAAAATATTTTTTATTTAAAAAGATCTTAAAACACAGGATGTGCACATGTACCCCAGAGCCCAAAGTACAATTAAAAAAAAAAAAGATCTTAAAACTTAAAAACTAAAAATGAAGGCCAGGTGTGGTAGCTCATGCCTGTAATCCCAGCACTTTGGGAGGCTGAGGCCAGTGGATCACCTGAGGTCAGGAATTTGAGACCACTTGGCCAACACGGTGAAACTCCATCTCTACTAAAAATACAAAAATTAGCCGGGCACGGTGACATGCACCTGTAGTCCCAGCTACTCATGATGTTGAGGCAGGAGAATCACTTGAACCCAGGAGGCAGAGGTTGCAGTGAGCCGAGATCATGCCACTGCACTCCAGCCTGGGCAAGACTGAGTGAGACTCCGTCTCAAAAAAAAAAAAAAGAAAAAAAAAAATTGGCCCAGCACAGTGGTTCACACCTGAAATCCCAGTACATTAGGAGGCCAGGAGCTCAGGAGTTCAGGAGTTGGAGACCAGCCTGGGCAACATATCAAGAGCTCATCTCTACTAAAATTAAAAAAATATTAGTCAGGCATGGTGTTGCACACATGTAGTCCCAGCTACTTGGAAGGCTGAGACAGGCGGATGGCTTGAGCCTTGGAAGTCGAAGCTGCAGCGAGCCCTGATCGTGCCACTGTACTCCGGCCTGAGCAACAGTGTGATCCTGTCTCAAATCAAAAACAAAAAACAGAAAAACAGGTTTCTGTGAAATATGTATGGTAGTTCTCATTCCTAACAGCATCTTTCCATAATATTTATTAAAATATCTGTAACTCTTTTCCTCTTACTCAAATTTTCCTCAAGGATCTTTCTGCTTTATTTCTTCCTCAGTTGATGGGTTATGTAGAAGGAGCGGTTACTTACTGGTGAACTGTGAATTTTTTTCCCCCTCAGTAAAGAAAACAAACACCTATAGAATAAAATCCAAAGTCGACGGCACTGCACTCAAGACCTCTCACCCTGGGTCTGCTGGCTCATGCCTGAAATCCTAGCAATTTAGGAGGCCAAGACAGGAGGATCGCTTGAAGTCAGGAGTTCAAGACCAGCCTGACCAACATGGTTGAAACCCCATATCTACTAAAAATGCAAAAAATTAGCTGGGCATGGTGGTGTGTGTCTATAATCCCAGCTAATCGGGAGACTGAGGCAGGAGAATGGCTTGAACCTGGGAGGCAAAGGTTGCAGTGAGCCAAGGTCACGCCACTGCACTCCAGCCTCCACAACAGAGCGAGACTGTCTCAGAAGAAGGGGGGAAAAAAAGAACTCTGACCCTCACTTAGTTTCTCACCACATCCCATCATAAAACATATTCTTCCCAGCATTTTGGAAGGCCGAGACAGGTGGTTCATGAGGTCAGGAGTTCGAGACCAGTCTGGCCAAATAGTGTAACCCTGTCTCTACCAAAAACTAAAAAAAACTAGCCAGGCGGCTGTAATCCCAGCTACTCAGGAGGCTGAGGCAGGAGAATCACGTGAACCTGGGAGGCACAGGTTCCAGCAAGCTGAGATCGCACCACTGCACTCCAGCGCAGGCAACAGTGTGAGGCTCCATCTCAGAAAAGAAAAAAAAAAAAAAAAAAAAAACTATTCTTTTTTATTTTTTGCTGATCCTTTCAACAGGCACAAACCCTGTTTGTAAACCACACAGGTTTGCTCCTCCCTCCCTGAATATGCCCTAATTCCCCAGCCCCATTCTTTCCCAGTACAATTTTTCTTTCTTTTTGGCCTCAACCACTTGTGTGAACATCTCAGTATGATTTCCTCTGCTGGGAATATCCTCTCCCTTTCTGTCTCCCTCATACCCACTTTTGGAAATTCTACTGGGCCTGTCAAGTCCAGCTTCAGCTCCCTCCACTATGAAGCAATTGTGTCTCTGCCACAGCTCGATGAACCTTCTTAAGTTCTGACCATGTTTTGCCCAACACACAGTAAACACTCTTCAGCGGTAGCTCCAGATCCTAGGATGCTTTCTGATAAATGCTGGGGAACTGAACCAACGTCGATCAAAAATCAGAACTGACCAGGCACAGTGGCTCACGACTATAATTGCGACACTTTGGGAGGCCGGGGTGGGCAGATCATGAGGTCAGGAGTTCAAGACCAGCCTGGCCAACATAGTGAGACCCCATTTCTACGTAAAACACAAAAATTAGCTGGGCGTGGTGGCAGGTGCCTGTAATCCCAGCTACTTGGGAGACTAAGGCAGGAGAATCACTTGAACCCGGGAATGTCAGAGGTTTCAGTGAGCTGAGATCGTGACACTGCACTCCAGCCTGGGTGACATAGCGAGACCCTGTCCGAAAAAAGAAAATCATGTAACTTTTTTTTAGTCCAAATCAAGCAAAGCTGATCATTTCACTGAGAACAAAAAAGCAGGACATTACACTGTTTACCACCACGTGGTAAAAGGAGGGCAATATTTCTGTCATCATCAACAAACTTTGCAGAGGCTGCCTCTCTGCTGTCAGTAAAGAACGAAAAACAGATGGAGTGACAGAAGGAGCACAGGATGAGAGGGAGACAATTGCAGTCGTGGTCTGCGCTTTGGCTCTAACTCAATTTGTGTCTTCTCTCATGGCTAGAATTTCTCCATCTGAAACAAAGAAGAGGCTGGGCATGGTGGCTCATGCCTGTAATCCCAGCACTTTGGGAGGCCAAGACAGGAGGCTCCCTTGAGCCCAGGAGTTCAAGACAAGCCTGGGCAACATGGTGAGACCCTGTCATCTACTTAAAAAAAGAAAAAAAAGGCCCAGGCAGGTGGCTCACAACTATAATCCCAGCACTTTGGGAGGTGGAGGCGGGTGGATCATGAGGTCAGGAGTTCGAGATCAGCCTGGACAACATAGTGAAACTGCGTCTCTACTAAAGACACAAACATTACCCAGGCGTGGTGGCACATGCCTGTAATCTCAGCTACTCAGGAGGCTCAGGTAGGAGAGTAGCTTGAACCCAGGAGGCGGAGGTTGCAGTGAGCCAAGATCATGCCACTGCACTCCAGCCTGGGCGATAGGGCGACTTTGTCTCAAAAAAAAAAAGAAAGAAAAGGAAGGAAAGGAAGGAAGAGAGAATAGAAGAGATGTCACTACATTACTTCAATAGAGAATTCCTGAGCTAGTATTCTCTATAACAAGCTCATTCTACTCGGCCTAAAATTCTGAGTTTAATCTTACTCCCCCACCTCCATCACCTGGTGGCAGGATAAAGGACTATGATTATAGCTAACTTATACTGAACATGTAGGAGGTGCCAACCACTGTACTAAGCTTTTTTTTTAATTATTTTTTTATTTTTTTGAGACAAGTCTTGCTCTGTTGCCCAGGCTGGAGTACAGTGGAACGGTCATGGCTCACTGCAGCCTCAACCTCCTGGGCTCAAGCAATCCTCCCACTCCAGCCTTCTGAGTACCTGGGATTGCTCACTATGCACCATCATACCCAGCTGTCTTTTTTGTTGTTTTTTATTTTGTAGAGATGGGGTCTCACTATATTGCATAGGCCGGTCTTGAACTCCTGGGCTCAAGCTATCCTCCTGCCTCAGCCTCCCACTGGGATTACAGGTGTGAGCCACTGTACCCAGCCTGTAATAGCCTCTTAACTCCTTCACTTCTCAACAACACCAGTACTTAGGAATAATATTATTACCATTTCAGATGAGCAAGGTCAGACACAAAACAGCAGTCTTTTGTCTCAAATCCTAAAGCTAATTAGTAGCCCAGTGGAGGAGTTAGAACCGGGGTGGTATGGACTCCAGAGATGGAGCTCTTACTCATTTCCTCTGATGCTTTTAAAATACAAGGTATTGGAGATAAGGAGGTTAAAAGAAACACACAAACTAGTATTCTGGGTGTCTTGAGGCTGAGACCCACCCCTCCTCCACTGAAGGAAAAGAACCCCTCCCCATTCAACATTAAAAAGTCACATGGGGCCAGGTGCGGTGGCTCATGCCTGTAATCCTAGCACTTTGGGAGGCAGAGACGGGCAGATAATTTGAAGTCAGGAGTTCAAGGCCAACATGGTGAAACCCTGTCTCTACCCAAAATACAAAAATTAGCCAGGTGTGGTGGTGCACACCTGTAATCCCAGCTACTTGGGACACTGAGACAGAGAATCACTTGTATCCGGGAGGCAGAAGTTGCAGTGAGCCACGATCACGCCACAGCACTCAAGCCTGGGCAACAGAGTGAGACTCCATCTCAAAAAAAAAAAAAAAAGTCACAAGGATCTACCAAATAAAACTGATATTATTGTACACAGACCTCCTGTTCAAAGCTTTAAGACTTTTTCAAATTAAAATGGAAGATAATTATAAAGGGGTAAGCATGGACTTTGTTCTCTCTCTCATCTGCATGCTTCTATAGATACCAACCGCTGGTTTCATTGTTTCTCAATCTTTCTAGATGTAGTTCCTCCCTTGCAGCGTTAGGTTGAGATTTCCTACAACAATCTCCTTCGATTTTTATATTCTTTTTTTTTTTTTTTTTTTTTTTTGAGACAAAGTCTCCCTCTGTCACCCGGGCTGGAGTGCAATGGCCAATCTTGGCTCACTGCAACCTCTGCCCCCCAGGTACAAGCGATTCTCTGTCTCGGTGTCCCAACTAGCTGGGATTACAGGTGTGCATCACCACACCTGGCTTTCACCACGTTGGCCGGGCCGGTCTCCAACTCCTGACCTCAGGTGACCCGCCTGTCTCAGCCTCCCAAAGTGCTGAAATTACAGGTGTGAACCACCACGCCCAGCCTCATTCTCTCATTTTATTCATCAACAGATGAGAGCAGAAATGAATGATGGGGGTCAGGGGCGGTGGCCCACACGTGTAATCCCAGCACTTTGGGAGGCCGAGGCCGGTGGATCATTTGAGCTCAGTAAATGTTGAGCTTCAGGATTCTTATTGTGAAATGTAGCTAAATGTCACTTAACTAGATTTTTGTTAAGATTAGATAATATAGGCTGGGCGCGGTGGCTCAAGCCTGTAATCCCAGCACTTTGGGAGGCCGAGGCGGGTGGATCATGAGGTCAAGAGATCGAGACCATCCTGGTCAACATGGTGAAACCCTGTCTCTACTAAAAATACAAAAAAGTAGCTCGGCATGGTGGCGCGTTCCTGTAATCCCAGCTACTCAGGAGGCTAAGGCAGGAGAATTGCCTGAACCCAGGAGGCGGAGGTTGCGGTGAGCCGAGATCGCGCCATTGCACTCCAGCCTGGGTAACAAGGGCGAAACTCCGTCTCAAAAAAAAAAAAAAAAAATTAGATAATATAGCGTCTATGAAAATATAATTACAAATTACTATACAAATTTAGAAAAATTTTAGCCAGGCACGCAGTGGCTCACGCCTGTAACACTAACAGTTTGAGAGGCCGAGGCTGGAGGATCGCTTGAGGCCAGAAATTCGAAACCAGCCTGGGCAACAATGTGAGACCCCATTTCAATCAATCAATCAATCTTCTGGGCCTGGGGTGGCGCCTATGGTCCCAGATACTTGGGAGGCTGGAACGGGAAAATCGCTTGACCCGGGACGTCGAGGCGGCAGTGAGCCAAGATCCCGCCACTGCTCCAGCCTAGGCGACTCCCTGTCTCTGGGGGGGAAGTGGGGGGGAAATTAAGCCTTTCCTTCCAGGGTCTTCAGAGTAAGACTTGACCGCTCCTGTGGGGAGCAAAACCGAAGGCGGGACCCACAAAGCCCCCCGGGCATGCGCAGTGGGCTTCGGAGGCAAACACGGAAGTCTCCGTGGAAAAGCCCATCCTCCCCATCCAGCCTCCAGCGTGCCCGCCGACCCTCAAGGCCGCTCCCCCGCCCCTCTCCTTTTGTGGGCGCCGCAGGGCGGAAGGGGCCATCCTTCCAGCCCAGCCCTCGTCCCCGCTCCTCGCAACGCAAGCCAGAATGTCGACCCTTTGCCAAGTTTCAACATGGCGGCCCACAGAGGCGCGGACACAGCGTCCAGGCCGCACTCCCTTTTCCTTCTCTCCAGCCTGACTCCCGCTCCCTCCGAGCCGCTCGCACTCACCTCGGCAAAGCTGGAGCTACCTTCCCACCGAGACAGGCGAGCGGCTTGCAGGCGACGGCAGATTCTCCGCGCCGGCCGCGACCCGACCTTTACATTGGTAGCTGCAGATTCGCCGCCGACGCTCGTTTCCTGTTTGCTTTTAGTTTAAAACTTTATTCACGTGGCCAGGGGCGGTGGCTCACGCCCGTGATCCCAGCACTCCGGGAAGCCGAGGATGGCGAATCACGAGGTCAGGAGGGCGAGGCCATCGTGGCTAACGCGGTGAAACCCCGTCTCTACTAAAAACACAAAAAATTAGCCGGGGGTGTTGGTGATTGACTGTGGTCCCAGCTACTCGGGAGGCTGAGGCAGGAGAATCACTTGAACCCTGGAGGCGGAGGTTGTAGTGAGCCGAGATCGCGCCACTACGTTCCAGCCTGGCGACAGAGACTCCATCTGAAAATAAATAAATAAATAAAAAATAAAAGCCGGGCGCGGTGGCTCAAGCCTGTAATCCCAGCACTTTAGGAGGCCGAGGTGGGCGGATCACGAGGTCGAGAGATCGAGGCCATCCTGGTCAACATGGTGAAACCCCGTCTCTACTAAAAATATAAAACATTAGCTGGGCATGGTGGTGCGTGTCTGTAATCCCAGCTACTCAGGAGGCTGAGGCAGGAGAATTGCCTGAACCCAGGAGGCGGAGGTTGCGGTGAGCCGAGATCGCGCCATTGCACTCCAGCCTGGGTAACAAGAGCGAAACTCCATCTCAAAAAAAAAAAAATTTTTTTTTAAAAATAAAAAATAAATAAAAAATAAAAATGTATTATTGAGCAAAAAAAAATGCAACATCGATATTTTAAATTTTTATATTTGAGACGGTGGAGGGCATCTGTAGTTTCGGCTGTTGGGGAGGCTGAGTCATGAGGCTTGAAGCCAGGAGTTCAAGTTCAGACTGGGCAACAGAGCAAGACCCCTATGTTTTAAACACACACACACACACACACACACACACACACACACGAGTTGTATGTACAGCACATGCAATGGAATACTATTCCTCCTTAAAAAAGAATGAAATTCTCATTGCTACAACATCGTGGATGAACCTAGAAGACATGCTAAGTGAAAGAAGCATAAGGACAAACAATGTATGCTTCCACTTATATGAGGGACCTAGGATAGTCAAATTCATAGTTAGAGAGTAGAATAGTGGTTACCAGGGTCCGCCATGGGTGTTAGGAGGATGGCGAGTTATTGTTTAATAGATACAGAGGTTCAATTTGGGACGACAAAGAGGTTCTGGAGATAGTACGGATGGTTTCACAACAATGTGAATCTACCTAATGTTATTTAATAGTTAAAACGGACCAGCCGGGCGGCAGTGTATCACACCTGTAATCCCAGCATTTCTGGAGGCCAAGGTGGGTGGGTCACGAGGTCAGGAATTCAAGACCAGCCTGGCCAACAACATAGTGAAACCCTGTCTCTACTAAAAATACAAAAATTAGCTAGGCATGGTGGTGGGTGCCTGTAGTCCCAGCTGCTTGGGAGGCTGAAGCAGAAGAATTGCTTGAACCCGGGAGTGGGAGGTTGCAGTGAGCCGAGATTGCACCACTGCACTCCAGCCTGGGTGACAGAGCAAGATTCAGTCCCAAAAAAAAAAAAAAAAAGTCTCCTGGGCGACCCAGTGAGAGTTTGTCTCAAAAAAAAAAAAAAAGGCCGGGCGCGGTGGCTCAAGCCTGTAATCCCAGCACTTTGGGAGGCCGAGGCGGGTGGATCACGAGGTCGAGAGATCAAGACCATCCTGGTTAACACGGTGAAACCCCGTATCTACTAAAAATACAAAAAATTAGCTGGGCATGGTGGCACGTGCCTGTAATCCCAGCTACTCAGGAGGCTGAGGCAGGAGAATTGCCTGAACCCAGGAGGCGGAGGTTGCGGTGAGCCGAGATCGTGCCATTGCACTCCAGCCTGGGTAACAAGAGCGAAACTCCATCTCAAAAAAAAAAAACAAAAACAAAAAACAGGTAAGGTGTCTCACGCCTATAATCTCAGCAATTTGGGAGGCCAAGGAAGGCAGATTACTTGAAGCCAGAAGTTCAAGACCAGCCTACCCAACATGGCACAGCCCCATCCCTACTAAAAACACAAAAATTAGCCAGGCATTTTGGCACACGCCTTTAATCCTAACTACTCTAGAGGCTTCTGAGGCTCAAGAATTGCTTGAACTCAGGACGCAGAGTTTGCAGTCAGCCAAGATCCGGCCACTGCACCCCAGCCTGGATGACAGAGTGAGACTATGACTCAAATTAAAAAAAGTTTAATCCCATTCAGGCCATCTCTAGTAAAAATACAAAAAAATTAGCTGGGTGTGGCGGCACATGCCTGTAGTCCCAGCTACTTGAGAGGCTGAGGCAGGAGAATCACTTGAACCCAGGAGGCAGAGGTTGCAGTAAGCTGAGATTGCACCACTGCACTCCAGCCTGGACCACAGAGCTAGACTCCATCTCAAAAAAATACAAATTAAAAAATAGTAAAAACAAGGCAAAATGCATGGCTCACGCCTGTAATCCTAACACTTTGGGAGGCTAAGGCAAGAGGATCAGCTGAGCCCAGAAGTTTGAGGCTGCAATGAGCTATGAGCATACCACTTTACTCCAGCCTGACAGAGGGAGACTCTGTCTCTAAAAAAAAAAAAAGAAAGAAAAGAAAAGAAAGGCCAGGCATGGTGGCGCACACCTGTAATCCCAGCACTTTGAAAGGCCAAGGAGGACAGATCACGAGGTCAGGAGTTCAAGACCAGCCTGACCAACATGGTAAAACCCCATCTCTACCAAAAATACAAAAATTATCCCGGCATGTGGCGAGCACCTGTAATCCCAGCTACTCAGGAGGCTAAGGCAGGATACTCACTTGAACCCAGGAGGTGGAGGTTACAGTCAGCCGAGATCGCGCCACCGCACTCCAGCCTGGGTGACAGAGCAAGACTCAGTCTCAAAAAAAAAAAAAAAAGGCAAAAAGGTAAATTTCATGTTACATATACATTAAAATGTCTGTGCACCCTGGTAGCAATAAGCATAACGTAGCACCTAGATCTTGGTTTTTAATATCATTCTCCAATGAAAGTAGCCAGTGCTCCTTAGAGAAATAGCTGACTCTAAAACTGGGACAAAAAATACTCCAGAAGGCCGGGTGTAGTGACTCATGCCTGTAACCCCAGCACTTTGGGAGGCTGAGGCAGGTGGATCACTTGAGCCCAGGAGTTCAAGACCAACCTGGGCAACATGGTAAGCCGAGATGGTGCCGCTGTACTCCAACCTGGAGCAAGACCCTGTCTCAAACAAATAAAAAATAAAAAATGAAGCCAGGTGCAGTAGCTCAGGACAGTAATAGCAGCACTTTGGGAGGCCAAGGCAGGCAGATCGCTTGAAGTCAGGAGTTCCAGACCAGCCTAGGCAACATGGCAAAACCTGGTCTCTAATAAAAATACAAAAATTAGCCAGATGTGGTGATGCACGCCTGTGGTCCCAGCTCCTCGGGAGCCTGAGATGGGAGGATCACTGGAACCCAGGAGGCTGAGGTTACAGTGAGCAGAGATTGGGCCACTGCACTCCAGCCTGGACGACAGAGCAAGATTCTGTCTCAAAACATAAATAGGCCAGGCGCAGTGGCTCACGCCTGTAATCCCTGCACTTTGGGAGGCCAAGCCGGGTGGATCATGTGAGGTCAAGAGTTCGAGACCAGCCTGGCCAACATAATGAAACCCTGTCTCTACTAAAAATACAAAAAATCAGCCAGGCGTGGTAGTGGACACCTGTAATCTCAGCTACTCAGGAGGCTGAGGCAGGCGAATCACTTGAACCTGGGAGGCGGAGGTTGCCATAAGCCAAGATCACACCACTGCACTCCACTCTGGGCAAAAAGAGCAAAATTCCATCTCAAAAAATAAATAAATAAATAAATAAATAAATAAATAAATAAATATCTGCCAGTCCCTACTGATATAAATAAATGATTGAATAAAGTGGGGAGAAGAGGCAAATCTCCCATGCAGAATTGCAAATAACTTATGAAGACAACTCCTCTCCAGAAAGTAGAGCAAGCCTAGGCAACATAGTGAGAACTCATTTCTTTTTTTTTTTTTGAGACGGAGTTTCGCTCTTGCTACCCAGGCTGGAGTGCAATGGCGCGATCTCGGCTCACCGCAACCTCCGCCTCCTGGGTTCAGGCAATTCTCCTGCCTCAGCTTCCTGAGTAGCTGGGATTACAGGCACACGCCACCATGCCCAGCTAATTTTTTGTATTTTTAGTAGAGACGGGGTTTCACCGTGTTGACCAGGATGGTCTCGATCTCCTGACCTCGTGATCCACCCGCCTCAGCCTCCCAAAGTGCTGGGATTACAGGTTTGAGCCACCGGGCCCGGCTGTGAGAACTCATTTCTAAAAAAAAAAAAAAAAATTAGACCAGGCACAGTGGCTTATGCCAAAGCAGGAGGATCACTTGAGCGTAGACATTTGAGACCAGCCTGGGCAACTTAGTGAGATCCCGTCTCTATAAAAAAACTTAAAGGTTTAAATAAATAAATAAAAGCTTAGTTTCTCAGTTGTACCAGCCACATTTCCAGCTCTTAATAGCCTCATGTGGCTAGTGGCTATCATCTTTTTTTTTTTTTTTTTTTTTTGGAGCTGGAATGTCACTCTCTTGCCCAGGCTGGAGTGCAGTGGCACGATCTTGGCTCGCTGCAACCGCCACCTCCCAGGTTCAAGCAATTCTCCTGCCTCAGCCTCCCAAGTAGCTGAGACTACAGGCACCCACCACCAAGCCCAGCTACTTTTTGTATTTTAATAGAGATGAGGGTTTCACCACGTGGGCCAGGCTGGTTTCAAACTCCTGATACCCTGAGCCACCGCGCCCGGCTTTTTTTTTTTTTTTTTTTTTTTTTGAGACGGAGTTTTGCTCTTGTTGCCCAGGCTGGAGTGCAATGGCGTGATCTCGGCTCACCGCAACCTCCGCCTCCTGGGTTCAGGCAATTCTCCTGCCTCAGCCTCCTGAGTAGCTGGGATTACAGGCACGCGCCACCATGCCCAGCTAATTTTTTGTATTTTTAGTAGAGACGGGGTTTCACCATGTTGACCAGGATGGTCTCGATCTCTCGACCTCGTGA